CTAACCATTCTATGATTCTAAGAAGGACTCTTAAGAACAAAAAACATGGGCTGAAAAACGGGACAGGGAATTATAATAGGACTTTTTTTTTCCCCCCACATGAATGCAGAAATTGTTTACTGGAATTTTCCTTGTCACCAGCATGGAGAATAAAGAATACTCAGGCTGTTAAGAGGTATGCTATATTCCAAAGTTCGTTGTTCTGACAAGTGGTTGATAAATCAAGCACATCACCCAAAGCATCAGCTGGATACTAGGTTAAAACAGAAACCCCACAGAATTTTAATTGGCTTAGTACCTCAGGATGAATTTTCCTGATGAGCCTAACTTCAAGAATTGCTTGGATTCTGGAACTTAATTGGTTGACAGCGGGGCTACAGGCAGCGCAAGACAAAAATTTTAACATCAGTTTGCCTTTGAGCAAGAGCACCACTATTCTGCTTTCATTTGTAAACTGCTGCTCAAAATCAACCCAGTATTAACTTGAGTGATCTTCCTTTAATTTGGTATTAGCTAGGGATTAGCTAAATTCAGGGTATTTCAGTGTCTTTCTACTCAAACATAACAGGGTGTTTTTAGCAAAGAGGAGAAACAATTATGAGTAGCTGCAACTTTCCAAGTCTCCGTAATGGAAATATTCAGAGGCAGGTACCTGACTTGGGATTTAAACATCCAGATAAAGTTTGTTATCCTCTGCAGTTGGATTTGACAGTTAAAGCGATCAATTTTTTCAGGACTTGCTGGAGACCTTTTTATTTACTAACTTTGGAAGCTCGAAGTAGCACTTGCCTTTCAAATCTTGCGCCACCTCACTTACCTGAAAATAGTATGTGCCCCACCCTAGTTTGTAGAGATACTGGAACATGCTTGTACACTATGCATCAAAATTTACAACAAAACAAAACAGGGCAAAACAAAAACTTCTAACAGCACTCCTTAAAAGAACATATGCAAAATGACACTTTGAAGACCACTAGTGCCATAAAAGCTTTATTTTTTACTTAACACAAGGCAATTAGAGTGCCTTTTAATACTTCACATAACAGTTATTAGCAAATACAAATATATATACTTTTTTTTTGTTTTTAATGAAAATGTCCATTTAAGGATTTAACTTAGAAATTTCAGTTGCGAAATCTCTCTAGATTTTTGCAAAGTTAACAGATATTCCAGTGCAAAAATAGATCCCATTACAGATAGCATAAAGTGCTTGGAATGAAGGACCAACTATAATTCAGGAGGGAAGGATAAGCACAAAGTGGTGGTTTAACCATGGGGAAAATACAACTCCTTACTGAAGTACAAATGTACTACAAAGAGGGGTGCAACATGTCAATAGTAGTAACATTTACAGTAAGTTAACGCCTCAGTGCAGTTCCATTGTCAATACAACACTGTATGCGACTCGAGTGATTTTTTTCCCCAACACACACTTAAAAGAGTAAATTAGTAGCTGTCTGAACTTACTCTAAGTCAAATCTTCATGTGAGAGTTGCATTATGCTGTCTGTTCAGCACAAGCAAGACAGATCAGAGCTGTGAAAGAGTTCAGCAGATATCCATGTTTACTGCAACAGGAGCGTGACAGTCACAGGGCAATAGAAATCAAGAATCCTTTTGGTGGGCTAAAGAAAGAGGATTACGATGTAACTGTTGTTTCCTGCTAAATTAATCATTTGCTCTTCTTAACTGGTCATGTAAACCACAGCCCTCTTGGGACCAAATCTGAATCCCCCCAGAACCTGTTCTAGTTCTACCTGCACTGGTTTGGTGCAGTGCAAAACTTAAGCCCTTCACTTTGGTGACTCGATGCTGATTTGTAATAGTGATTTTTAGCAGTGGTAAGCCTTCAGTACATGCTATTTGTTTCAGTAATACTGAAACATACCTGCAGCCTGTTACAGAGAAGTCATGGCTGTAGCTCAGCTATTCAGTAATATTTCTGCACCTGGAAGTCTGGTGTATTGACCACCCTGTAACTCATCCCCGTAGGGTGATGATGCCATAAGGGTAATAACAAAGCATGTTTTAAGTGAGGTATACCAATCCCCATTACACTCCTTTCTCAATCCCCTTAGCAATGTATTAGACAGATTTAAAAAAAAAAAAAAGTATGAAAAGGCACTTCAGCAGAGCAGGTAGTAAGCTCTTACTTTATCCCAAGGCAGGACATGGCAGGGACTGGGAACTTGTGCTAAATATTATTTAAATGTGTATTAAAAATGCTGTCACTTATCAAGTATACCTGGAAATACATAACCAACCTTCTTCAGGCTCATGCCAGCCTCTTCACTGATGGGCTGCTATGGGCACCCACAGAAGAAAATGGTCCGTGATTGATTCATGACAGAGCAGCATCAAGAACTAGTGCAGAACCTGTATGGGTATTTAAGGCGGAGGCATGACATACACGAATATCCCAGGGACTGCATTTGGGTTCAAACCACATTACTGAACCTGTTTCTGAATGTAAGAGCAAGACAGAAGGACCCATTAAGCATATCAATGAAAGCATACCTTCCCATGACTGCTGTACAATGTGAACAAGCACTGGTTGTTCTTACCACATAATATCCCCTCTAGTATTATTCTGGGTCTGTGAAACTTCAAAAATTATTGACTGATGTAACTGTACCACTATTACTTTGAACTATCTTTTTCTTCAAGGGGATTTTTACTGAAGTAGTTTGTCACACGTGTAATAAGGGTGTATTCTTCTCCAGTTAGGGATCACCTAATGACTAAAACTACACTGCACAACAGAAGCAGAAACTTACACATTAATCTAATGTTACAACAGTTTCCAAAGGGGAAAATTTTAGGTGAACAACTTGCAGTAACTGCAGATAGCGGCTGATCGCTAGCATCTGGAACTTGGTCAGATCACGAATGTAGCTATCACTGAGTGGAGAGAATGAGAGCATAGCATTTCAGGCATAATGTAAAGAAATACTGTGGCTACGAAGATCAACTGAAAGCACTTTTAATCCCTAATTATGCTACCTACCTATTTAAAGTCATAAATAATACTGTTAAAAAAAAAAAATCTACATCTCGTTTCTAGTTTTTGTCTGGCAAAGCCAGCAACGGCAACATGCTCGTGCTAAGCAGTAACTTCAGATGATGGGTACCTTTCGGGTGCAAAGCAGGGGTTAAAGAGTAGATATTATGCATCTGAGTGACATCTCATGATTTAGAATTTGGTCTTGGCATTAGCAGCTCATACAACTACTGAGTTTGCTACTGTGGTCCAAATCCTAGGTCGGCTTCTCACCCACTTCCTCCTCCTAGGTGTTTATGCAGCTGCTGCAGTACCTCAAAGGAGCAGGAGGGTACTTAACTACACAAAAACCTAGTTGGAGTATGTTATCAGTTGTGATGCTGGTGGGACAATCCTGTGCATTTGCAAGGTTCGCAGTTCGGCATATCAGCACTTACTGATGGAGATGTATGGATACGATGGCCCATCTCTTGCCATCCCATCTGCACAGTACTGCTTTGTGGCCTCAGATTTGTCACCAACTGACCTACACCAGTCTACGAAAAGCAGCGGGTCAGGGAAGTTTTTCAACCAAAGGCTACAACACTGGTGGTGACCCTTCTTGGCACTGACTATCTTGGTGCATTCATTGCCAGCAATGGATGTAGCACCAGGAAATTCCCACTCCTGACATGAAAGTTTTGAAGACTAAAACATGCATGTCTGAAATACCTATAAATAACGACTGGCCATGATTCCTCAATGAACTATTTCTGCAATCCTAGTGAAAACATACTGTACAGGACAAGACACAGTATGGCTGAAAGCCCACAGCATCTGGTGGGTGCTTTACCACAGCTTCAGAGTTACACTATAATGACCTAAGTTCAAGTCTTTCACTTGAGAACAGTACAAGATGACTCCATGAGGCACTGCCCCTGTAAAGGAATTTTGTTTTCATTGCATTGAATTGCATTGCATTGAATGGTTATCAGTAGAGTGTCCAGTTTCTCTTCCTCTAACAACTTCTTTGGGAGTATCCTATCCCAGGAAAAGGAAGTTTGCATTCTGCTCATAATTTCTTTGCTGAAATTGGCTCACACGCAACTTTCTTTTACCTTCTCATCTTGCAGGAAGGAATTAAGGATTGCAATGTCTACCACAGTCTGGTTTTTGTGCAATGACAGGTCCTTAGTGTGGTCGTCGTCGCTTTGGTCCTTAGCAAAATTTACGAATACCTACAAGAGAAAAAGGCCATGTAACTCATCACCCTGGGTTTTCATTAATTCAAGGCATTTTATACACTGGCCTTCCTGAACAAGTCCTGGGATTCAGTACGCTGCTGAAAAGTCCTTGAAAGGTAGCTCCAGTAAATTGGTGGGTATATCTCTGCAGGAAGAAGCTTTTGGCAGACAGGCTGTTAAAAAACTTACTTGGTCAAGTGTGGTCTGAGAAACGGAGTAGTCTTCTATGTGGAGTCTCTTTTTGTTCTGGGAGAGAATACTGAATATTCTGGCCAAGGAGGATGGTGAAGAGGGAAGCTGGTATTGCAGCATATTGCGATGTTTTTCCTTCAGGACACTTCCAGGGAAGGCATGCCCAAAGAACTCCTCAACAGGCTTCATGTCTGGGTTTGCCCCTGCGATTCTCACAACTATGGTGTAACCATCTCCAAACCTGTAAACAAGAGGGCGAGCACAGGAGTTAACATGCATTTGAAACAAGACATACAGCTTAAAATCCAGCAGCAATTCCCATAGCCAGAAAAGCAATAGGAACTCAGACTGAGGAATTAAGTCTGACTATCTCCCTAAAGATTCAGGCAACTCTGTGGTATAAGTGAAAAGAGCTACCTGTTCTTTAGATGCTGGACGCTGCCCAGACACCTGAATCGCCCATTGACCATTATCGCCATTCGAGTGCACAGGGCTTCACATTCTTCCATGCTGTAGGCAGAAGTAACTTTGTTAGCACTGCAAACATCAGTGAAGGGCAGAGCAGCCAAACAGCATTTGGCATCCAACCCCAGTAGATGCAAAAGCCAGGGTATGATATTACTGGGCTGCTACTTGCCTATGAGATGTCAGCACCACTGATCTCCCCTCTTTGATTACACTCAGAGCACAGTTCCACAGGAAACGACGTGCTTTGGGATCCATCCCCGTTGTTGGCTCATCCTGCAAAACATATACAAAAAATAGGTTATGCTGTTACATTCTGCTGATAATTACCTCATCTCTGAAATGACCTGCCCATTCTGATTATGCATATCGGAAAAGCTGAAAACAAGCAAGTTTGATTCATTTTCTAAAGTGAGAAAATAATTTATGCTCCAAATGTTAAATTAGCAAACATCTTTTTCAGAATTGAGAAGTACTGTTTATTCTGCAGTTATAATGTGTTGAAATATCCAGTTCTAAAACAAGTTAAGTCAATTAGCCTGTTTAAACAGAGCACTAAACTACTTTCTCTTGACTGTGAACTTTAGTAATCCTACCGTTTGTCCTCAATTTTAATCTAAAAAATAATTAGATACTTATTTTGAATTTTCACTGAATTCTTTAGAACACAGGATTAGTTCTCCTGCACAGTAAGATTTGCTTGCATCCAGCCAGGAAGGCTGTTACTTTTTTGTAGGTATAGATATCTTTGTAGCAGTACTAAGGTGGTGAAGATGCTATACAGCTGGCAGTTTGGCATCAAGCTTGAGAACCCCACTTCCCCAATGATTTTTCAGGAATAGAAGCTTAGAGGAACATTATAGCTTGCACCTACATTTAAAGATATGTAATTTTATTTCTGCATGCTCTTTGTTCAAACTTAAGTGACTAATTACGTATTTAAACATTAGTTGGCTGTGAAATATCTACTCTTCATTTGAACCTAATTTTTCTGTTCTCCAAGGAAAACATTAATGAGCTAAGGTTGCAGACTCACCAGGAACACCACAGGTGGCCCTCCAATGAGGGCAATGGCTGTGGAGAGCTTGCGTCTGTTCCCTCCACTGTAATTCCCAGCATATTTTTCTCCGTATTTCACAAGGCCCAGTTTCCGAATTGCCCACTCACCAACCTACAAGAGACAGCACAACACCATCTTGAATCAAGCACGGCAACATCGACACAATGAGATTTTTCCTTATGAGCTTTGGCTTTAAAAACATTTTTGGGAAGGGCGATTCATCTGAGGATCCAATGTGGCATGGATATGGGGTTTGAAACACTCTGTTCACCTCCAGATCAGGATAAAGGCAATCCTGCTCCTGGGAGGCCAGAAAATCAAATGGCTGCAGCTTACCGGCCAGTAAGCCTGAGTTCGACATCAGCTGAGCCACATTAACAACTGGTGTAGTGCTCTTAGCAGTACCAGCTTTAGGTAGCTTTCCAGTCGCTGTGGGCTTGCAGTAGAGACACAGTCACTACTGACATAGAGCAATCCCACTGTTGTGCATCTTAGCCCTTCAGACAGATGGGGAGGACCTGGTTTGTTATTCAGGAGTATTACTGATAGTGTCAACTAGCACTAAAAAAATGTTACGGGGAAGAGACTCAGCTATGACTCTGATCAGCCCTATCCAAAGCACTTAGCTACAGGTGTCATCGTCCTACTGCAGCCATTCCTGTTCTGCAGCACTCAGGACACACAGTGAAAGCTGCTGCTTTAACTGAAGGAAAGAGCACTGAGAAAGGTGCTAGATGGTACTGGCAGCTGTCATTAATGGCCTAAAGACTGTTAACGTGACCCCATGCCCGAATGCTGAAATAGCAGCACTTTAATGATGCAGCACGATCAATTGTAAAGATGTAACAGACAGCGTGAGGCTTCTGTTAGTGCTTGTTCCCTGGGACTTTGAAGAATTAACTCTTGACAGCAGGTGAGGTTCTGCATGACCTGCAGCTCCATAGCCCTTTAACTCTTACAGGAAAGAAGTCATTCAGTGGAGCAGTGCACCCACTATGAAAGTACACGACCCAAAGTATCTGCCCTTCCACTCAGTCCACTTTCTAGGCAGCCCTGAAAAAGCACTGCAGCTTTGGTTTGCCTTGGAAGAAAAGGGGGGCAGATTTCACCATACAGTATCTTTATCAGCTTCACATCATGGCACTGCATGTGTTGCAGGGAGGGTGTGTGCAAGCAGGAACAGTCAGTCACTTGGGAGTGTCCTATGGTGCTTCATTTACCTTGCAGACTTCTTTCTCTGGAACACCTCGCAGGAGCGCGAAGAACTCCAAGTGCTCTCGGCCTGTCAGCAGTTCATTAACAGCATCGAACTGTGGGCAGTAGCCCATGTTCTGATGGACTTCTTGGATGTTGGACAAGATACTGTAAAAGAAAAAACTTTTTTTAGAATTTCACAAGTACATGCTGCTATTTTAGGTGGTAAAAGGAGGAAAGTGAAATAGCGGTTTTGGAATCACTGAACTAACAAAAATACAGGAAGTATCTAGAAGTCCGTTTTGGCCAAATATTTTTTGTTTCCCTCTCCCTATTCCCCCACTTTTTTTAAATAGGACTTTTAAACATGAAAGGGCAGGTGATCAGAAGCAACTACCAGACTAAATAAGTTTTCCTAAGCTGCTGAAGAACTTTACCAGACTCGGCAAGGGCTGAAACAGATGCCAGGAGTTGAAAAAGGGAAAAGTAGAGTAGAGTTTAGATTTGCAGAAGTGGATCTAAGGTTGTGAAAGCTGGAGAATTCAGCAAAGGACCTGCTTTGACACAAAGCAGAGGAAAGATGCGTGGTCTTTCACCTGTTTCCCTTGAGGAAAGCTTCTCCTCCTGTCACATCAGTATCACCAGTTAGCATCTTAAAAGTGGATGACTTGCCAGCACCATTTACTCCCAAGAGTCCAAAGCACTGGGGATACAAAAGAGCAGATGAGCACAGTGTGTTTGAGAACAGGATTCAGCTGCATCATTTTCAGTACAGACAAGATGGGAGGGAGCAAACTTGACTCTCAGGACAGCTGGGTGGAGTTTTCAGTGCATTTTCAGACAAAAAAAGACCCCAAAAAATCTCTGTACTTTCATTTTAAGTATAAGTCTTTAGGCTGGGAACATTAACGAATTGTGGTTTCACATTGGTGCAGCACCACCACAGCGTATCTGTGCCAAACCTTGGAAGGTACCAGAGTTTGGCCTCTGGTCCCAGACACTCAAGAGTTCAGTAGCTTTTTCAAAGGCATAGAAAGAGAGAATCAGAAACAGACTCAAATTCCAGTCAATTTCCTTTAATGTAATTTGAACTTCATCTGTTTCTGATCTTGCCCTACCCTTTGCTATCTACTGCTCTTAAATACTGCAGTAATGGCAAAGCAATGAATTTGACAGATAAGCTTACCTCTCCAGGGGGGATTCCAACACAGATTCTATCTACTGCTGGTTTTCGCTTCATTCTGTAAATCTGAAACCAGAAGAATGAGAAGGACAACGTCAAAGAGGGCTACAATTAGAGCCATACATATTCAACAGTCCAGACATGCTCTGGTTTTGACCCTACTAAATTCCTCTGGATGTCGCTTCTGGTGAACTGCATGGTTTTGTGCCAACAAGTCTTAGGAATGCAAAACTTATGTCACCTTGGTTAGCTCCTTGATTTCCAAGATGTCACTCTGCCCTCCTCCACTAATTATCCTCTGTCTCTCTCTGGTTACATCCTCATCTTCATCATTCACAGAAGGCAGCTTGGCATAGACAGGCCTGTAAAGAGCAACACAGTAAGGCCTTAGCAGAAGGTAACAGCCTCCATAGTTAAAATTCTCCCCACTTCACAGGGGACACCAATGAAAACTTCACCTGCCTGCAGTAGTGAACTGGAGCTGACAACCTACCTGGGTTTGATGAAGAACCTGTACTGGATGAGCACTGTGATGAGAAAGAAGACAACACCCTCTACTGCCATGGCAAAGAGGTTCCTTCCCACGAGGTCCCACGACAGAGGGGACACAAAACGATTTTCTCCTGCAAGAACAAGATGAAAACCACAGTCACCTTTCCAGTGCAATGGGAGCAGGCTAGCATTCCTTCCTCCAGAGCTCACCAACCTGGATATCGGGGCAACTGGGGAGCAGCCAGTGGGTGGAGGGAAGGGACTGACCACACAAGGGGCCAGTTGTAGCTGCAATCACATTTGTTTCTGTAGAAAAGTTGGGACTCGGGCCCAGAGGATTCAGTCTGCCAAACAAGAGCTGGCCCACCTTCCCAAAAGGTTAGTGAAACACAGAAAGTCTGTGACTCAGTCCTGGCATCTGCATCCCAAAAAAACCAATATCCAGCTTTCCAGAATCTCAGCCACTCCTCACACTTGGCCTCATGGTCTTCTCCATACAGTTGGCTTTATGCACTTCTATTTAATGCCTCTAATAACCAAAACTCTGGGGATCTATATGGCAGACACACTTCAGTCCTTGTAACAACCGAAAGAGGACAGCTGTGGAGACCTGCCAGCTTTGATCAGATCTGTGTTACAGACTGTCCACTTTCAGTTCCTGAAAAGTCAAAGAAGCAAAGGGTGCTCACGTGGAGCAGGCTCGAGCTTTCTCTGTTCAGTTCAGGACTCTGTCCCTGTGATACACGATTTCATTTACCAAACCTCTCCAGAGCATCAGCCATGGCCTGGTTTTTCACCATATCAATGAGTCCCCGCCCCAGGCAGAAGTGGGGAAAGATGAGGAAGACAGACTTCAGGATGTCATTGATGTTGTTCAGCTTCTGTTAAGACAAAAATCAAGGGCCAGTGAGCCACCTGAGCAGCAAGCAGCCAACACCTGCCAACTGTGACCCATGCAGTGATTGACCTTGCTTTCTCCTAACACTGCAACCCCACAAAAATTCAAGGACTATAAATACTCTCCCAAGGGCCAGCTCCATGGCTCCTCTGGACAATCAGGGTTGTTGCATTGTTCAAGATGCTATTAATATAAGCAAACTGCACCGAAGCAGGGATTCCTCCAAAAGTTCACAGTCTAAAAGGCAGTGTCTGCAAACAATAACATGCAGAAAGGCTACAGGTTGAGGAAACAGGAAAGTTGTGCTTGCAAAAACTGGCTATCTCAGTGGTTATGGGTAGCCCCTCCCTATCCCATACTGAAGGCTCTAATCCTTTCCCTTTGTTGTCTTTCAGCTGTCTTAGCACACAGGTTAGATTTACTGCAGCCTGAAGAGAAGCTCCTGTTCTGCCAGGCACTTACCTTCAAGCACGTGCATGTTTTTACTGAGCTAAAACAGGCCTTCTAACAAAAGGGACCATCATCAAGGACTGCCTCATTATGCCCACAAGCAGCGGTACAATCAGTAACTCCCAAAGGGTCTCCTCAACCTTCTTCCACAAGAAATACTTCCCCACCAGTATTTTTCAAACGGGGCCTGTTAAGATGTCTTGTGTTGCATACAGGCATGAGAGGAACCTGCACCTTCCCCAGTACGCATGTGGCTTTGGAAGAACTGAAGTGAGGTGCAGAGTTCCTAATACAGTTAGAGAGGTACCACAGGAGTCAAAAATAAGGGCAACTAAATTCCTGAGTGCCTGAAATGGCCTACAGTAGACAGAAACTGTCCCTTATGAAGAACATACAGGAAATTCCATTTCATCTTAAGAAAATAATTTTTTTTACCCTAGGTGTGATTAAGAAATGGAAGATGTTACCCAGAGAGACTGTGGAGTCTCCATCCCTGGAAATGTTCAAAGCCTGATGGCTCTGAGCAACTTGCTCTAGCCGACCCTACCCAGAGGTTAGGCTAGGCAATCTCACAAAGTCCCTTCCCACCTTTTCTGTGAATATTGCCGAAGTGGGCTTGAACTCATTTTCATCAGAATCTGTGTTTAAACTTCTGCAGTAGCTAATGGGTACAGGACAGGACCTAGCCCTTCTGGAAAACTGGCTGCTGAAGGAAACATGACACCAACATGGAACTAGATCATAACAGCACAAGGTAGTGAAGCTTCTGGGAAACGTACATTGTTGGTGAAGAGCTCCAGGACAAAGGTGGCCACGCTACCATTGATGCCAATAAAGAGGTTCACACTGGTCAGCACAACGTACGCTGTGCTGGGGATTTTGAACATGAAGGAGGCTGGATACATGAGAGGGGTGATGGACCACCTGGCAAGAGGAAAGGCAGCAACATCAGGCAAGCACCTTCCAAGTCTAAGAACCTTCCCAATCATCCTTCTAATAAGAAATTCCTTACCCATAGAGAAACAGAAGGAGAGCCAGCACAGGCAAGTTGGAAGAGGATACATATGACTTCTGCTGGAAGCAGATGAAGATGATGATAACAAGTGTGGCTGGAACAATGTAGTTGCACTGAAAGGTGAAAAATACAACTTTAGATTTGTTTCCAGATGACAAAAAAATGCAAGTTGTCTTTCTGCTCTGAACCAATGGTTTTCAACATTCTTCTGTGTTCCCAAAGCTGTTTCCAACAGGAGACTCTATGGAGTGTCATATGTGAACTATAATGTAGTACACATGAATTTACATTTCCTGGTTCCTCTAGAAGTAGTCATAAGTTCTGGACACCACAGGTTGAGAAAACATGTTTTGAACAGAACAGAACAGGGGTCTACACAAGCAGATATTTTGGGACAGGTATTTTAAAGTTAAATAATCAATGATGATGACTGAGCTTATGTTCAGCTCAGTCCTCTGTTCAGTATTCCCTGTCCCACTGAAGTGAACCACTGCCCTGACAGAGTAAACACAGAAGTCACAGGCAGAGGTGTTACTCACCGAATTAATGTGGTGCCCACTGGCCCCCAGCTGCACTTCGCACTGTAGTGCAACTGACAAACCTACCAACACAGACTGGCAGACAGTTTAGCAGAGTTACAAAAGCCCGTACCATATCCCAGACGAAGTTGGCCAGCCAGTAGATCACAGGCTTCACACCACTGATGAACTGCAAATGTTTAGCCTTGCTGACACGTTCCTGGATAAGGAAGACCACAAAGCTGGCAGGAACAAAGGACATGGCAAAGATCACACAGATGGAGACTAAGACATCCACGGAGGTAGTCATCCTGGACAAAGAAAAAAAGAAAAAAAAAAAAAAAAGGCAAGCCAAGTGTTTGTATGCTGGTGTGGGCTCTGCTGAGATGAAATGAAGCAGCTCACGTAGGGCAGTGTAAAAACCATTTCTCCATTTCTCCTTCTGCTGTCCTTGTTTTGCAGGGTAAAGAACAACCACATCAGGCTGTCTTAACTGCACAGTTTTTCTCCAGCCATATAACAAAGGGAGCATACATAGCCTGTTGGCATCTCAAGGACAGCACATCAACATGGAGACTGGTTAGTAACTTCAGCATTACAGACTACTTTCTGCCTTCCTTAACACCACTACTTTGTTTCCCACTTAATGCATTTCCTGTGGTTGTTGTAGGTTTGTATTTTGTTTGGTGTTGTTTTAAAGTTTAGCGGTATCTGACTTTCATCTGCCACTGCTCTAAGATTTGAAGGATGTATCTGCAGAAAACTTACGTGTCCTGAGGACACTAGCTGTGGTAGCAGTGAACTAGTCAATGCCTTACTAGTGGAGTAAGCCCTGTGCATGCCCCTAGGTTGAGACAGTAGGCAAAACTGAACCGCATCTATTAATGGTAAAATGGTGGCACCTTGGGATAGAAGAATGACCATATTCATAGTGAGCTCTCTTTCTGGATATGGCTGAGAGGATTTCCCCAAGCCGCAGCAGATCTGAAGATTACACTGATTCTTAGAAACTGCAGCTTCCAGGGATTCAAAGACACAGCAAGCTTGCACAGCAGTGCTGTTCAACAGTAACTGCTCAAAACCACATGCTGCCACCTGCCCAGACCACAGAAAGTAAGGCCAGCACATTAGAGCGTAAATGCCACAGGCCACTGAGTGTCCACCAGTGAAGTTAACACCTCCCATGCTGCCTGTTTCCAGTAATCAGCAGCTGATTTTGAACACAAAGGATAGCCCAAACCTATCCACATTCACATCAGGACTTACAGGGCCACTTCAGAGAGCTGTTGCTTGGTAAGGTTGAGCGGGTGATTGAAGGCAGTTATTCCATAAGTACTAGGGTTTTTGCCCTGTTGCAGGTTGGCCCGAAGTATAGCATTATTGATGACGTTCAGGAAGGAGGCGATGGCATGCCAGCCCTTGTTGTTAAACCACACCTGCAGGAGACCACACCAGCATCAGAAAGGCACCAGGTACTTCAGCTACCCAACAGGCTCCTGAGCCCTGCAGAACAGCTCTTCCTCTGTTGAGGGCATGTAATTTCTTTCCACATCCTTCCAGCTAGGTTGCCCAAAGACAAAACACACAGTTTGACCAATACCCAAAAAAGGCTGCTGGAAGCTAGGGATCCAGCACTGAACTCCTTCTGGGCCTTATGCCTAGACTCCAAGGGAGAAACAGATTTTGGGGAAACCAACACAATCTGCATTTTCTCCACTAGCACCTACAGAGAGATCTGGTCTGCACTGCTGTCCAAGGCAAACTCCTGGGCCTTTGCTAATTAAATAACTACAGGCTACCAGAGCTTCAAACAGCATGCAGGCAGTGAAAACTGGCTAATTTACCTTGACATTGTTCTTTGTATCCAGGCCTTTCATGAAACTTGACAAGCTATTAAGAAACCGATCTCCAGAACTCCCCTGCAAACAGCAAAGAGACAGTTATTTCCCCTCAGAGAGTACCTTACTCCTGTCCTGGAGTTTTAGCAGGGGTCACACTATGTTTCCCACAGCTTGCTCAGTTTTCTTTCCAATCTGCAGCCTGTATCTGCCAAGCTGGAGGTGATAAGACCACTAAGAAACTACAGCTTTCCTCCCCTCTTCCCTTTCTGCAGTCCCACTAGTAAAAGAAGTCAGCCTTAGGCCTGCTTTTTTCCCAGCAGTATTAACAAGGGTTGCAGGCAACCTTCAGATACCCTGTAGCTCACAGGCAGCCTCAGAAGGAAGTAGTGGCCCAAATTATCTTCTGAGCCAAAGCAGACCCAGCACAGGAGGGCTCAACTGAAGTTCTGAAGATGGCAACCACTTATTAAGTCATTCAGACAGCCCAATACTGCAACCAGTATTGGGCAGAACCCACATCAGCAATGCAGGCTGCGTAAGCCTCAGCTGAGTGTGTGTGTCCCCAAGCCCTCTGCTGCTTCCAGACACCAGCCCGGGAGATCCCAGCTCAGAGGCAATGGAGAGAAGTCACTGGACACAGCTAACATAAATGCTCCTCATTTTATGGCTTCCAAGTCATCTCTCAAGTAACAGGATATTAGTGCATCCTGGGTTTATGGGGGACAGTTGCTCACCTGTGCTAGCTCCAAGATTTTCTTCACCTGTTTAATGGCATCAGTGACTTCATGGCTTGGGGGAAGCATGAGGGAGCTGCTGGCTCCCAAGGACAAGCCGCCATACCTGAAAGTTCAGATAGAAAGTGATGCTGAGTCGCGACTACTCACTGACTTCCAGAAAATGCCACTCCTCCCTCCACAGATGTCTTGTCTTCCTGCACTATATCCAAGGCAAGTGTCTCCACTCTTACATGAAGGGATGACTTTAATCTTCATACACTGAAGTTTAGCCATGGTGTCTTCTACTCCTTATTTCTGGGGTTAAATACCCAAATCATGACTGCTCAGTATGGTGTTCTATTGAATGAATGCAACCACCCTCTGCTGCCAGTGCAGGCAAAGCAGAGCATCTCCCTGCTTCCCCTGCCTGAAAGAATAGCACCTCCTAAGATGGAGCACCAGTAAGCTAGTCCTGCAAACCTTTTCAAGCCAGTACTGCTCTCCACATAAGGTAAGCATGGTTTCCAGTAATGTGCCATGACCTTGCCCAGTTTATCCTTTAACACGCTGCCTCAACCCTTGGCATTTAAGAGTCATATAAAACACACTGCAAAGCGGGGTGGGTCTGTCCTACTTAATACAGTGCTCAAGGGTTAGCAGACACATACCAACTAGAGAAAAAGCAGCAAAACTCACCTGAACTCATTCACCCAGATCTTATTCTTTAAGCTGTAAAGACAGAAAGGAAAGCCGATGTGTAATATGTGGAACAAGAGGAGTGACAGACCGACCAGTGCTGCAGGCACACAGCCAGGGAAAAGAGTGCAATAGCCTCTCACATCTGGCATATGTCCCACCAGTCCTCTTTGGTGTAACTTGTATGGTTGGTGCACAGACTTACTCCATGCCCTGCCTACAAGGCTCAGGACACCTCCCTCAGAGCTGCCACAGCATCACTAATAAAGCAGAAGCACCACTTGCACTGTGGATCAGGACAGTCTGAGGAGCTGAGTGGGTCTGGCCCACTGCTGTGGAGTTTGGGTTGCCCAGGACTATTTGACCAATCTGTGCAACATCCTACACACAGCAGGCAGCCTTTGGTGGGGAGGGAAGGGAGAGGGAGTGTTCAACAACTACCTAGAATCATAGAATGGTTTGGGTTGGAAGGGACCTTAAAGGTCATCTAGTTCCAATCCCCCTGACATGGGCAGGGACACCCTCCACTAGACTAGGTTGCTCAAAGCCTCATCCAGCCTGGCCTTGAACAATTCCAGGGATGGGGCATCCACAACTTCTATGGGCAACCTGCTCTAGTGCTCCACCACCCTCTCCCTGAAGAACATCTTCCTGATATCTAATCTGAATCTCCCCACTTTCAATTTAAACCCATTACCCCTTGTCCGGTCACTACAGGCTCTTGTACAAAGGTCCCACTCAGCTTCCTTGTAGGCACCCTTCAGGTACTGGAAGGTGTTATAAGGTCTCCCTGGAGCCTTCTCTTCTCCAGGCTGAACAAGCCCAATTTTCGCAGCCTTTCATCATAGCAGAGGTGCTTCAGCCCTCTGATCATCTTCGTGGCCTCCTCTGGACTTGCTCCAACCAGTCTATATCCGTCTTGTGTTGAGGGCCCCGGAGCTGGACGCAGTACTCCAGGTGCAGTCTCACAACAGCAGAGTAGCGGGGCAGAATCACCTCCCTCGACCTGCTGGCCACGCTTCTCTGGATACAGCCCAGGATACGGTTGGCTTTCTGGGCTGGCAACCCACACCGC